CCATCCCCCCCCCCCGGCACTGTTAGAGGCTCGTGCAAAACACTGCGTGACACCTGGCACGTGGCAACCAAGCACTTGGTAGACTCATCTCCATCGTCCTTGGGTTAGGAGGAGACTGGGGGTTTGCCTTATTCTAAGCACCTTGTCAGACCCTGGAAATCAAAACCGCCTTTGCAGAAGGACAGCCACCTAGAAACTAGGCCGCCAGGGCTCAAGGTGTTGCCAGAGGTCAGTGAAATCCTGCTGCTCTTCGCTCCATTCAGCAAAACCTCTTCCCTCCTCTCCTGGGAGGTCATTTCTGGCTACAGAAAAAAAAGGCTTGGCTCGATTTCCCTCCTGCTCCGCACGGCACTGCTTCCTCCTCCCCCAGCTGCCCGCAGACTGGCCAGGGACAGAGCCCAGTCCTCGAGGTTGAGCCCTCTGCCAGCCCACCCAACTCCCCCTTTCCCTTCTCCTTTAACTGGGTTTCTTTCTCTCTTTTTTAATCTAGTTGGCTTTTAATTGCACATATCAGCAACCATTGAATAATGATTTTATCTATATTCTAAATTTAGGGCAGTTAAATGCAAAGCAAAATGCAGACACTTTCTTGTGTCTTAATTGAATGAAGGTCACAGCTATAACAACATTTAATTGAGCTATTTTTCATTATCATATTTTAATGACTTTGCACTGACAGTTCGCCGGCTTCTGAGGAAAGAGCATGATGGAGTCGTTTATTTCCCTATTTAGTTATTGTTTGACAACATCAGCTTCGATTAAGACCCTGCTTTATAGAACATTAATCATATTTGAATGAGCAAAGGGTATAAATGTAAACACATCTCCCTTCCCGCCACCGAAGCCCGCGTCCCCACACGAGGCTCACTAAGCGAACGCTTCCCAGCCATTGTCTGCCTGCATAATGGCCAACAACAGCCCGAACAACAATTCCCAGCTTTAATTGTCACTGCCCCTATCTTACCCTTGCACCTTTCAGGGAGAAGTTATGATCCTCCACTTCTGAATGCTCAATAATTGTGTCATTTATCTCAATTTGCAGTTCAGTCTTTAGGCAGCTATTGGCAAGCTGGCATTAAAAAAAGAAAGGATAGACGGTATCCTGGCCAAAGGAGATTTTCATTTCCAAATAATAATCAGTTTAATTTGCCCGCATATGACCAATGATTCATGTTCAGATTTAATAATCAGGATCACATAATCTGATTATAGGGGAAATAATTTGTTTACAACCCCCAATTTACTGCTCGGAATTCCATTATCTCTCTTCAGCCATTGGTTTTTAAGAGATACTAACATGACCCAGGGGAACCGAAAGCAAACTATTATATTTCCTACAATTAGATCTTTGCATAGTCTTAACCCCAAGCCCCTACATAAAAAAAGAACAGAAACAGCATGGAGGAAACCCCATAAATAAAATGAATATATAATTGTGCTGGAAGAATAGCTTGCCCGGAGAGGCGGCACTGCGAGTCTTCCCTCTCGCGCTCCGGCACATCTGCTGGGCTCCGCGGGTCTGTTTGCCTCAACACAATCACTCTGTAGCTTCGAAAACGAAGTTCTGCTTCGAGGCGGTCACCGGGGCCACGTTCCTCTCTAAAGCAGCACGTTTGCTACCTGCCACCTAAAGATTCTCAAATTGCACGTGTTCTTCAGATCCACTCCACTGAAAGAGCCCGCGTGCAGGGGAACAGTTGGGCATGATGCAATTTCTGGAAAGCAGGTCCTACCCTGCTTCCCATCTGAAAATGTGGTTCTCTGCAATTGACCAGCCTTACCCCAGAGCGGTCAGAGCTGCTTTGAGAATAGCATCTCAGCTCTTTTTTTTTTTTTCCAAAGCAAGGAAATGGATGTGCATTGATGTAATTTAGTACCTTAGAGACGCGGACAAATTAGTGTAGAACATTATCACTAGTTAATTATGAATGACCGATTAATCAACCTAATCTAATATTCCACATTATGTTGATGTTATTAAAGTGCATCATGAAAATGACAGATAGTCTTCATTTGCTTTCTTTGGCCAAATGTGCACTCTGCAGTCATGATGTCAAAAAAAAAAAAAAGTTTGCCAGTTTTAATATTAGAGAGTTAAATAATTAAAAAGAAGGTTTACCTGCACTCTGGCTTCTGTGAGGTTTATTTTCATGGCTAGCTCTTCTCTGGTGAAGACATCTGGGTAGTGTGTTTGGGCAAAAACTGCCTCAAGAGCTTCCAGCTGGAAAAAGGACCAAATATTTGCTGGTGAGAGGCTGAGGCTGAGTGAGAGGAGGCAGAGGCAAATCTGCCCCGAGTGGCAGCGGCTAGGACGCAGTTCCCAGAGCAAACGGAGAAAGGCGTGGGAGAGAGCCCTTCGGAAGGACCCAATGGGCTGAGACCTTCAACTGCCTTTATGCAGGTACATGTAAATATTGCCACCGGAACTAAACATCTTAGGGCGGCCCTGCGAACAGCTGGAGCCACTCACTCCCGTGGCCTGCACCACCAGGCGTAGCATGGAAAGGGCGTGGGGAAGCCCTCGTTCTGTCGGTCCCACAGAAACTCACTGGGGTGTGTGGCTCACCTTCCTGCCTGCCCCAGTTTGCCCCAGGAGTAGGACTGGCCCCTGGAAATACAGTGTCACAGCTCCACTTCCGGGTGACAATACTATGTACAGGTCAGTCAGTTTCTCAGGTTCCAGTCTCCTCGCCTGTCCATTGGGAACAAGGATGTCTGGCCTGCTTTCGTCAAAGGTTACCGTGAGTGCCATAAGATGCTGCTGACATGGAAAGGCCCCCCAAAACGACCAGCCACAGGCCAACGGGAGCCATCACTTACTGTCTGGGCTCACAGGGCAGTCGCATGCCCTCCCCCAGACGGATCCTTGGCACGCAAGTTGTTCACGATAACAAAGCTCCGGTGAATATCATCAGTTGGCCTTACTCTGAAAACAGAGGGGCTCGTAGCTCTGCTGAGGGGAGCCGCAAGTAGGTGGTTCTCAGGAGGGGCGGTTACCTGCTGAAGCGTGAACGTCGTCCGATTCCGGCGCTGTTTTCTACGCAGAAACCCATCGTCAAAATCCCCTGAAGGGTGGTTGCCGAAGGGCGCAGTGCCTACTGGGAGCAAGCTGTGTCAGCCCAAGGAGAGGAGCCCCACCCTCCCCCGCCACAGCCTGGAGCTTCGTTCTGAGGGCATCGCCACTCACCCGGACAGGCAGCCCCACCTGTGCTGACGTCTCTCCCCTGCTTACCACGGTCTGCCTCACCCTCGCTCTCCTGCTCTCCCAAAGCCTCTGACTTTAAGCCTGATGAGCCCTATTACAGCAGAGGGTGGGTGGTGCCCTTAATCCCCAAGGTGGCCAAGTGCACTCACGAAAGTCGGGACTCAGCCAGGAAGGGCCACTGGCTGGAGTGGAGCCTGGGTCTGCCCTCGGACTCCCGGCTGACCTCTATCCAATGCGTCCCTATCTCACCCACCTCCCTCGGATGGTTTAATGGAAAGCTTTATGTCTCCTTTTGGGTCACCTGTTAGTTCACTTGCCCTCACCTCTATAAACAGCAAGGGTTAAAGGTTAGGGACAGGGGAGGCTGAAGGAGGGGGAAACCCAAGAGCCTTTCCCAGCACTCTTCTCCAAGTGCAGAACAGGAGGAGCTGAGAAGTTTATAAATGAATATTTATTACTGTTGGTCACAGCTCATCAGCACCATAGTGGGTCTGTTATACAGATGTCAATTAGCTCGAGATCTGCACCAACAGCCACTGTCCTAAATGCCAAGCAGACCTGAGCAAGGCCACACTCAGAGGGCACCTGGCCTCCACCCCGGCCTCAGAGAGCACCCATGCTCCCACCCCCCTGGAAGGAAAGGCACTGCCCACCCCAGCAGCCTCCGAGGCTCAGGCTTGCTGTAAAGCCAAAACCGAGTTTGGCCCCAAATGCGCATTTCGACCATTTTCCAAATGTGCACCATTTACTTGATAGTCCACGATGGCTTCTTAGGGAGGAAAATGAGCATGTGCCCATTAACCAGCCAGCGCCTTGCCTGCACTGGGTTCTGCTCTCGGCGTCACTGCACGCCCCGGGCTGGGAGCTCTCAGGCCACACTGCCCCCACAAGTCCCTCGGAAAACCTCGGTCCTGGCTGTTGTTACCCCAGGGCCACATTCACTCTCTGCTAAGACCTTCTCCCTCCATCTTCTGTCCTAATCATACTTTTTCTCAAAACCCTGGTTACAAATGTTTCTCTTCAGTTGTTGGAAACCTAAAAGGAATAACCTCAAAACAAGTTTCTTTCCATTACTTTGCAAAAACTAAATTGTCTCCTTTTGAAACAAAGCCCTTGCCTGGTGAAGAGGAATGCAATCTCGGAGGCTCTCCAAGCACACTCTTCCCCACTCTTCTAACTTACACCTCGCCCCCTCAAGTCATTTCTTACAACCCCACATAAAATAAAACCCTTGAAAAGTCTGACAGTTCATCAGATTAATTTTTTAAAAAATCAACAACCAAGCAGAAGAGAATAGGCTTATTACTTAAAAATAAGCAGGGTGTTCGATAATGTTAAAAGAAATTTCAAAACTCACAGATAATTAAACAAAACACCACAGAACAGCAACACGCTGTTTTCACTATCTGGGGAGGGGACAAGTGCTTACTGACACCCGTACGGAGAAGCGTGCAGTGAAACGGGCACTCACCCCCATTTATAGGAGTGTCGATTGGCACAGTCTTCTTAGAAGGTAATTTGGCAATGCCCATCAAAAACGTAAGCATGCAAACCGGTACTTACTCTTATGAACATGGTTTTAGTATGTGCCAAAAGAGAGAAGAAACACCAGAGTTGGGGGGAAAAAAATGGAAACAACCGAAGTGCCCATCGCGAACACTTCCTGCATGACAAGTAATGGAATACTACACAGCTGTTGAAAAGAAACCAGATCCTCCCACCGATGGCAAAGCTCCCCAAGGCACGCTATGGAGTAAAAAAGCAAAGCACAAAAGTGATATGTGGGGGACAGGCTCAGAGAGGGTAAGGCATGACAGATACGGGCAAGTGGGGAGAGCGTTTGTCTCAGAGAAATCCCAAGAAGCCAATAGGAGCAGGGTCCTTTAAAAAAAAATTAAAAGTGGAGAAAGAGGATCTCACTTTTCAATGCTCAAGTTTCTTTCTATTCAAATGTTTCAGGTACAGGTACTATTTTTGTATTAATGCCAGCAAAATTACCTGAGAAGTAAGATAGTAAGTTATGCTTTGCTTTTTTTCTTTATGTCTCTCCAGGTTAATTAAAAAATAAAAATTAAAAAGCTGATAAACTATATTACATGTCATATTCCGAAGATCCGTTCTCTGCTTTTCCTTTACCTGGGCAACACGAAGCCAAAAGACCCTTTTCTGCAAAACTCGCACAGAAACACACCTGCCAAAGGGTGGAAGGTTTTGAAAGAGCCACCTCCTTCTTCAGGTCATGTCACCAGGTCAGCTTGGGGGTGGGGGTGGCCAGGGGAGGAAAGGTGAGCCCACCTAGCTGGGCTGACAGAGGCAAGGAGCTCTCAGAGCGCTGAGGCCACAACAGGCAGAGCCAAATGCTCTGGGTCACTCTGACAGCCTGCAGCCAGCCAGGGCTTTCCCCCAGGTCACCCAGGAAGCTTACCACCTGCTGAAAGCCGAACCTCTGCCTGCTGCTCTGACCGGAAGGGCCGGCAGCCAGGAGGCAAGCAGTCCGACCCCAGGCTCAGAAGCACAGAGAGGATGTGCCCTAAACATCCATAGGGCCTCCCTCCAGTCCTGGGTACAGAGTAAGGGGGTGCACCTTGCAGACTTTCCTTAAAGGCCACCGTGTGTAAGTCCTTGAAGGTAAAAGTAGGTAAAATTCAGGCAGAGTGTAGCCTGTTCATAGGAATGCTGATCAAGTGAGCAGGGCTTAAAACTGGTCCTTATTAGCCTCCCTTAGAAAATCCTGCCCAACTCTTAGAGCTTTTACGTGAGGAGCGAAATGCGCCTCCTGGACTCCCTCTACCGAGGGGCGGCCAAGACTCAGCTGCTGCTCCCCAAGCAAGCATCCCCTGCTGTCTCAGGTCACTGTGGCAGTGTCTCACTGCCATCTGCCCTGCCCTATGCTCCTTCCATTCTTGGCCTCCGAAACTCTCCCACCACAAGTCAAAGGAGAAGGTCCCTGAAGTATAGTCCTGGTATTGCTCGGGGCCACAGATACCCTGGCAGGCCAGGGCTGAGAACACTGCTCAGAGGAAGGGGCTGTGCCCGGCCTGATGGATAATCACTCCCACCCCATGGACAGCCCACCCGGAGGTGCCCCAGGTCCTGGGTGGAGGCACCCAAAAGTCCAAGCTGTCACGACCATCCTCAGCTAACAATCAGGTGCAAAGACCAAGAACCCTGAGAGCAAGTTTCTTCCAAGGCCTGGAGATTCTCAAAGTTCTGAACTATAGCCCTGAGGAGCAGTTGGCACTTAGGGTCAGAAACCCAGGGACTCAGAGGAGGAGCCATGCCAAGGCACTCAGGCGGTTGGTAGGCAGGGCCACCTGTCTCCATGGCCAGGCTCAGACATCAAGTTGCCCAGAACTGCAGGGCGACCCCTGGAGCACCACCGCCAACGCCTGAGGGCAGCAGCCCAGCAATGGGTCCTTCTGGGGCTTGCATGGGCCCAGGAAGCTGCCGGCCAACAGCTCGACTTGGCTTTCTGGGATGTTTGCAAAACGCCCAGAAAGATTGATGCGGCCCCTTGAGCGGGGAAGCCCGATTAGAGGCGTGACGCCAGCATCTGTGCTGGGAGGACCCGCTGTCCCGTGGCAGGGCACGCAGAGCCGCGGGCAGCCGGAGCCGGGCGGGAGGGGGGTGGGAGGCAGGTGGAGACAAGGCAGAGGCTGGAGCGGGCTGTGGGGACGGGGACGGGACGCCCTACTCACTGACTGGCGGCTGTGCCTCCGCGGGGCAGGGACCCCACTATCCGCCTGCCCTGCTGCCGTTGCCGTTTAGCCCTTTCAGGCCGGTTCGGGCCTCGCCCAACGCC